TTGAGCTTCTCGGACGGTGAACTTTCTTCTCTGAAGTTTCTCTGCCGGGGGAAAATTGGGAAAAGGAAGCTTGAATGTGTCCAGAGTGGCGGGGGGGGGCTGGGTCCTCCTCGGGCAGCAGCTGATTGCAAGCGACAAGGTGTCGTTTCTTGAAAGCTTGCTGAAGAACATCAAAAGGGAAGATTTGCTCTTACAGCTGAAGCAGTTCGTAGAGGAAGGAGAAGTTAATGCTCCTGATGATCAACTAGATGTGCATGAAAAACGTAGGTGGATTATTTTTTTTAATTTCCCCCTTTCCCTCTCTCAAAGCAACCCCAATTAAATCTGTTTGCATCCTCTAGCTGTGGGTGTTCTTAGAGCAAACACAGAGCTCGCTGCCCTCCCTTCCTTCAGTTGCCTGCTGGATGTCACCACACTGTGGCTGAGCCCACTGCTGAGGGTGCTTCCGCTATAAAATGCTGCACAGGGCTGTGTTGTACCCTGGGAATGTACCATGAGGGCAGCATATGCTGCAAACAGCTTTCTGGGGTGGAAATTTTGTCACTTTTTTATCAAATGGTCACTCAGAAATGGTGCTAAGTACTTGGGATTCAAAGTATATCCCGGGGCTTTTCACATCATGGTGTAACTTTCGGTGTGTGCAACGCAGCAAGAGTAGTAGCATTTTGCTAAATATATATATATGTATGTATACACACTCCTACCATCTTTTAAAACTTTTGTATTTTTTTTAGTAAATCTCTCGGTAACTTGATATATTTTTGCTATTTCAGGTCTTCAGGCAGCAGCTTTTGAAGTCATATGTGAAAACGTCGGGAGAGACTGGAGAATGCTGATACGAAAACTTGGCCTTTCTGAAGTGAAAATAGACAGAATAGTGGAAGCCCATCGATATAACTTGTATGAGCAGTTGGCTCAGTCACTTCGAGAGTGGCAGAAATGGAAGGGAAAAGATGCAAAGGTGACTGACTTAATAAAAGCTCTTCGGAGCTGTAATATGAATTTGGTGGCAGACAAAGTTGAACAGAAGCTCTTGACGCTGAACAGTGGAACCAGGTGAAATCGATATAAAAACGCTTCCACGTCCGACAGATAATGGATGAAAAAAGTGAAAGTGCCTTCTGCTTTTCTGAACCAAAATCAGTATGCTAGGTTCTGTTACTTTGCCATTAATTTATGTGCCTTAATGGGTTGATTTGTGGTCAGATTAATAGATTAACATAAAGCCAAATTTCTTTCAGGTAATGCTTTGTAGTTTAATGCTTCCTTTAAGAGATTTTAACTTTAGAAGACTCCATTTGTAGAAATGTTTTCTTTTGTTCTACCACCCACCTGAAAACAAGATTTGCTTTACTGCAGGTACTTCTCAGGTATATCTTCTCTGGAAATACATCCATGGGACACTTCTGAGGCAACTGTAATTTAAAAGTTCACAGGGAAGTTGGATTTTGTGTCTGTGTGTGTGTGTGTGTGCGTGTGATCTATTATAACTGTAGTGTGAAAGGAGGAAGGAGTAAACCTCTTGGCTGTGTACTGGGTTTTCTTTTCAAGTAGCGTAAGATAATATCTTCCATAATTTGTCAAATACATTTGCTCTTCATAAAAAGATACTAAGACAACTTTAATAACCTCAGGCCTTAAGACTACAGTTGCAAGAGGGCTAGTAACTATTGTGGTGGCTTTTTCAACCTGTACCCAAGTTGAAAATTAACTAGTTGAAATCAAACGTTTGTATCAAGTGCCTTCATCATCCTGCAGAAAGGTTCTCCTGAAACTATGACAGAAACCGTGGATGTTTCACAGTTGTTTACAGCAGCATCTTTTTACTGCCATGAATGTTTTAAGATAATGCTTTACCAGGATTCCTTTCACAACCTGTGTCACAGAGTCTGGTTGTGTCTGCTGGAAGTTGCAGCTCACCTCATAAGTAAGCTGCAGTTATCTGTGCTCTTGGTAATGTAAGTGTGTACTGTAAAACCTAGAAAACAAATTGGTTTCTTTTCAGTGGAGGAGTGTGAAAGCCTACTGAGAACAAATACATAGTGCTGACTTTCCTCTGATGTCCAGTGACAATCAGCTGTCTTTTGCCACAGTTTGTTCTCTTCAAAAGTCGCTCCAGATCCAATAACTCTTCCAAGTCCTCCAATTTTTTTAGTTATTTCCTGTTCCTTGACATTTTTTGAATGTAGTTGTAAGCAACTTGCAGAGAAAGAGATTTATGAACGAGACCAGATTCAGTTTTCAGTTTTAATTTGGAACAGACTTCAAAAAATGGCCTTCATGCCTAACCTAAGACTGGAAATATTGCACAAGTTTCAAGACATGCAGGGCTGTAGAGGCCTCTGGGGACTACCCCCTATGTGAGGGGGAAAAGTTCTCTGAAATCATTATTGCTTGAACGAGTAGGACTGTTTGTTACCGCAAACATCCTTCTAACTGCATAAATACATACTTGAAAAGGAGAGGTTTCTTTTTTGCTACTGTACCTGTGTGACTTTTGGCTCCTTTCAGCTTTTCTACATGATGCCATTCTTGTGAAGGCCAGACTTGTCAATTCCAGACCTCCAGTAGGAGATAACATGTTCCCCTCAGCTAAATGATGAGCTGAAAAGGTTTTTTTTTCATAGATATGGTCTTCATTCCATATTATTTAAAGAAAATGGTGTCTTTTTTCCTTCACACCTTTAAGCAATCTTTGTGAGCAGAGTGGAGTAGAAGTGAAGTGAGCAAGGTGAGTTCTTTGTGCTGAGACAGTTCTGGAACAGTTCCAAGTTCAATCTGTCTGGTAACATGTTTTTCTTACCAGCTTCTAAGAAGTCTGCTGGTTCACAGAGGATAGATATATCTGGAATATGAAAATAAGTGTCTCACCTACTGCATCTAACCAGCATCTTTAAAAAATCAGTAGAAATAACTTGTTAGTTGTAGCCAAGCACTCATCAACTACAAGAAATACTCTGCCTCAGAAGATAAAAACCTCTTGTTTCTTTAAGGATTTGTACATCGTGGATGTTTTACTGCGTATGAAAGCAATGACCTAGACTGAATCAATCTGTCCAGTACCTCAGGGCCAATGAAAACTGTTTTTATTAGAGATTAAAAAGTTCATTATGTGAGAACAAAAATCAAATGGAACAAAGGGAACAAAAACTTTTTATTGAGAGAAGGGGTAAGGGAAAAGGCTGCAGTTTGTAAGACAATGTGTTGTGATCCATCTTTTATTTTCAAATTAAGTATTTTGCACTCAGATATGCATATTTTTATAACTTGAATTTTTTATATTGTATAATTTTGTGCACACTTCATTAAAAAATACTTCCTTAAAAACAAAAGAAGTTGATTTGTTGGTGGTTTTTTTTATTATTGGATTGCTGCCTGTGATGAGATTATTTTCAAATTACGAGAAGATAAGTGTTAAGGACACTTTTAAAGTGAGAAGTGGTGCTAAACTGGCATTACGTTACCAATGTCCTCTTGGAACATTAAAAAAAAAAAAAGAGGCAAAAAGCTTTGTCACTGAATTTGTCAGAAGTGCTGAAAGGCTGTCGTTTTCCTAGCAGCTGTAGCATTTGAATGCTGTCACTCAGGGAAGTGTAAGAAAATAAATTCTCTGCCAGCCCTCAGGAGCCTAAAATTGAGTCGCAGGGCAGCGTATGGACCATAGACAGGCTGGCTGTGAGCAAATGCCTCACAACTGCTTCCTTATTTTTGTGGTGAGGATATTGTATTTGGTTTGTAATTAATTAAAAGCATAGCTTATAGCTTCTTCTAAACCTGTTCAGGCTTTTAGAGGATGTGTTCAGAGGTTAAATAGATGGAGGCTGTGCTGTTCAGAAGTTCATACTGGCACTGAGGTGTTAGTGTGCACTTAAAGCTTTGAATGCAGAAGACAAGTAATTAATCATTTTATCAAATGCTCTGGGATACTCTGCAAGACTATCTGCCTGTGAGGAATTATTAAAACCTTTTCCTCTTGGTCTTTTCAGAGTCTTGTTTCCTTACAGCCTTGAGAAAACAAAGCCTTGAGAGTAAAAAGTGTAATTTCAGGACAATTCTCCTGAATTTTGGTGGATTGTTTTTCTATGTCACTTCACTGTCCCTTTCAGTACTTGCTTGTCCTTTCCTATGATTTTTGAAGATAACAATTATGTATCACATATGACTTTTTTTTTAAATTGCTTTATTTTCATTACTGGGTTAAAATAAGTCTTCTAGATTTTTAATTAAAATTCACCTTATACAAACTGGTTGTCATGCCTATTTCAAATGCAATGCCTTGTTTTCCTTTTTTTCCATTCCCCAAACGCAGGCAGCTGTATTTCCTCCAGTCTTTGTTTCAGGCTTAAAATAATTATCTACTTTCTGAAATCTAATTGCTTCATTTAATTGTGTAATGCAAAAAGCTCAGTAACACACGCTGTATCTCTGAGCTTTCTGTGGCACTCGGCATGTTCTTCATTCAAGCTTTTTGGTTGAGTGTTTTTCAATTTAATTTTATTTTTAAACACTGTGTTTCCTTCAGTTATCAAAATGTGGTTTGTGCTATTCTTCCCATTCCCTGCATTGATTACCTATGTCCTTAAAATGTGTTCCAGCATGGAAAATATTTTTCTAAGTTGTTTTTCCTCTTTGATTTATTACTTCTTTTGTTTGCCAGTGTTTTTATTGCAAGGATGCACTGGTAGAATTGCAATCTTTCAACCATATACCATAAAAATAGGAATTGTGAGGGTGAGATAAGGGGTTGAGGTAGGAGTTTTGAGTAAAAAGTTCAAGAACTTTTGAAGAATCTATTTTTGACTTCCTAAAAAAATCTTTGTAGCTGAGGATTACTTAACGTTAAGAGGGTGTGTTGCAATGGGTTCTTGGAATTGTAGGTTTAGAGAAAAGGAAGCACAGCTTTACTCAGCTGCTGGAAAAACCCAGGATAATGCAGGCTTCTGTGTGGGAATAAACTCACAGGCACTCTTAATGATTAAATTGGCATAAGATTCATGCTACTGTTTAATTCTTGAGAGCATTACACATTTATTTCTTAAGAGATTTAAAATAACAGGTTTGTTCTTGTAAAATTTTATGTAATATACGTTATTAAAATTTATTAAGTTAGTAATACTGGTTGAGTTTAAGTTCAGCAATTCCTGTGATTTGGTCAGCGTTGGAAGTTGAAAACTTTTTCATCATTTTTCATATATGCTTTATGTACAGTTCTTGTGTTGATGGTAACTTTCCTTCAGCTTGGGGTTTAGTTTGTCAAAGAAAAGGGTTAATGCTGTATTTCTGGCTGCTCACAGTTCTTAAGGCAGCTTTCGAAGTAACCAGCTATTGGAGCAAAGTTAAGGGTTTGGTGTGTATTCTCTAAGGCTCTGAGGAGATTGGGATATAAAAATAACATCTCTAAAAAAGGTTTTGAGGATTATATCTCCAATCCAAGGTAGTAAGTACCTCTGCTAAGGAAAGCATGCCAAATTTGTATGTCTAATGCCTCAAAAAGTTATCAGATTGGCATTTTTATTTACTTCATAGTGTTCAAGCCTTTAGACCAGGCTCTTGTGCTCTGTGAAGTTACACAGAGATAAAATTGGACCATTGTCATCAGAGATGTAAAAACCATCCAACTGGGCTTTTCTGTGGTAGGCATTGTATGTACAGGTGAGCCTGGTTTTATAGAACTTTCACATAAAGCAATAATCTTGCCATTAAAAATGTTCACAATTTTATAATGTTGTTTTCTTTTCCATTTCTTAATTCTGTTAGTCCCATTGATCCCAGCAGGACTATTAACTTCATAAAATAATTTGCAGAATTTAATCACTGAACACTTCTTATTGTGGTCTGACTTTTAGAGGAGTTTTAACAGCTGTTCTGGAAGTGTACACACTACTTGTGACAAAGATGTGTCCAAAGGGATGTATGAAGACTGCATTTCTGTACAAGAGTTGGTAAGTGATTTTTGCTTGCAAACCTGGTACCAGATTTTATATACAGTGAGCATATAAACCATGAGAAAAGTCTGGTAGAAAAGTTAAACTACAAAACTTTTCTTGTCATTAATGTCTT